GAGCAGATTTTTTGTGTTTGAATTATTCTCGTACGAATTTATCAGTACACAAAAATTCTGCCATAAAGCTTGAGCGAAAAGTGAAGCAATTTTTTTTCTTGTTATCGGCGTGCAGATATTGTGATGTGTATCAAATGAAGATAAAACAAATTGATATTTTGAATATTGGCATCAATGTGCACCTACAATTCCATTATCTGACATAAAGCTTGTATTTATAGTACTTTGTTCAACAGCTCTTGGTCTAAATAGTTCTGGTAGCAAGAAGAAGCCATCTGAAGGCAAGGCAAATGAAAAGCGACACAAGTGTTCATTGTGCGATTATGTCACCGACTTTACAACCAATTTGAAGAGACACATGTTCACGCACACTGGCGAACGACCATTTCCATGCAGTATGTGCCAGAAACGATTCACCCAAAAACAACATCTCCTATCGCACCTGAAAACACACGTCGATGAGTTTCTGTTCAGCTGCTCAAATTGTTCGCAAGGATTTCATCGCAGCGAGGAGAAGATAGAACACGAAACTGGTTGCAATGTGCGTCGCTACGAGTGTCATCTGTGCACGGAATACTCTACATTGGTTAAGTGAAATCTGAAATGTCATCTGCGCGTGCATACCGGCGAGAGACCATTCGAATGCGACCAATGCTCAAAGATATTCAACCACCCAACTGCTTTGGAGAACCACCGCGAAACTCACACCAATCCTCGTCCATTGAAATTCAAGTGTTCATCCTGCTTCAAGAACTTCGCCCAACAGAAGGAAAAAGAAAATCATGAAACCAACTGCAAGCGACGCGGATACCGATGCGATTTGTGCAAAAGCTACACAACTGATCATAAACCAAATTTAATGAACCACATGCGAGTCCATACTGGTGAAAAGCCTTTCCGATGTGAAAAATGCTCAAAGTGCTTCTCGCAAAAGGCAAATCTCAAGCAGCACAAGAAAATTCACAAGCAGCTGTCTGCTACCAAGGAATAAAACTCGAAATCGATCACATCAAAAGACAATTTCAAACCCAATTTTATAAGTAGCATACCAATTTGCCTTGAATGAAAACAAATATACTAAATCGTATGAAACCAAAAATCTGTTCTTCTTATTTCATCTGGAATGAAAATCAATGAATAAATAATAAACCGATTCATTATGAATCTGAATTGATTGATTTTTATCTAGCTGTCAACCGTGTGAAGGGAAAGTTGTACGATGTAGCTTGAATTCTAACAATTCGTATTCCAATTGGAACGGAAAAATCATTCTCACTGTTCGAAATGGAACTCTTGTGCATTGCTTGAATCATAAATTGTGAACAATTTTGTTATAGTTGGATGTGGAAAAAACTAAAATATCGAATTAAATGGTAACGTATGGTGGAAAAAAGTGCTTAGGTGCCCTGGAACCCAGATCGAGGACATGTCAGTTAAGATTTGATAAATTTTCCCTGAAATTGGGGAAAAAAAGATAAGATTCAGCAGTTATTCGGTGTCACGTTTCAGAATAGGTTTCAAGGCTATTTTTGAAAAGACCAGAACCAGGCCATTTTTGAAGATCCAGCTGTAAATTCTTATTGCAATCATTATATCTTTGGTGGAATCTTGATTTGTTTGTGGTTGAATAGAGGTGAAATTTATCAAAATGCGATATTGCACAAGGCTTCGACTACTAAAAGGACTAAAGATGTCACAATTCTCCAGTGTAACATTACAAATCTATTACGAAATTTTCAAATTCACATTTCACCCAAGAAAAAAAACAATTTTCAGGAATTAAATATCCGCTGCTTGGTAAATTGCGAATTGAAATTCGTACATTTTCTAAAGGGTGTCCCAATAGCAACGCAAAAAAGTATTTATAAAAAAAACAATGAAAATAGTTTCCAATTTTCCAAATCTTTATTGTATGTTGTAGTTTGGTCTTTACCATTTATGTATGAAAAAGAATATCGTGCAAATGTCCACCACGGCTCTTTTCACAGACCTTCAGCCGCTTGCCCAAATTTTCAATTACAGATTCGAGTAATGGCACATTTACGGTGGCTATGACACGTCTGATTTCAATTTTCAGCTCGGCAATGGTGCTTGGTTTGTTGGCATAGACTTTATTCTTGACGTAGCCCCAAAGAAAATAGTCCAATGGCGTTAAATCGCACGAACGAGGCGGCCATTCCACTTCGGCCTTTTGAGAAATGATGCGATTTGGAAAACGTTCTTCGATTGCCGCTAATGTTTCAGGTGTTGTGTGTGGTCTGGCGCCGTCTTGTTGAAACCACATGTCGGATTAGTCCATGCCTTCAATTTCCGACCAAAAAACATACTGCAACATCTCACGATATCGCTCGCCATTGATGGAAACGGCTCGACCATCATCATTTTCGAAGAAATACGGCCCGATGATGCCGCCGGCCCATAAACCGCACCAAACAGTGCGACGAGCTGGATGAGCTGACACTTCTTCAGTTTCTCTTGGATTTTCGCTTCCCCAGAATCGACAATTTTGGCGATTCACATACCCATTCAAGTGAAAATGAGCCTCATCCGAAAAGATCACTCTCTTCAAAAAATCGGCATCCGCGGCCTCTTTTCCTTTGACCCATTCGACGAAATCTCTTCGTTTTCCGTGGTCCATCGGTTCAAGTTCTTGAGTGAGGACAATCTTATAAGCGTCCCAATGAACACATGTAATGCTAAATGTTTGAATTTTGTGCATATTTTAATGTAGTGCTAAATGTAGCACTAAAAGTGCAAAAATTGTGTGATTTTTAGATAAAATTTTGTTTCTGGGCACAATATGTGTAAAAATTGTGCACGATTTGGGAAAAAATTTACTATGCACAATAATTGCACGTGTTTGGCTCATTGGGGTGTAGACCCAAGTCTTTGGTGAGAATACGCCATGTGGTCATCTTAGAGAGGCCAACTTGTTGAGAACGTCGACGAACCGAGGTTCTTGGCTCGTCCTCCACACTTTCACTCACAGCAGCAATATTTTCGTGCGAGCGGGCCGTTCGCATACGGGTTGATGGTTGATCGTCTAACACAGAGCCAGTACGCTCAAATTTCTGCACCAGGCGACTGATGGTGGACACATTTGGTCGATTATTTCGGCCGAAAAATTCACGAATTGCACGAAACGTATTTTGCAAAATAGACCCATTTTCGTAATGGGATTTAACGACTTGAACGCGTTGATCTTTACTTAATCTTGACATGGTTATAAATGGTATAGATGGACGCTTCAAACTGACATTCCAGTTTGACAGATCGGGGCATCCATCATGAAATCCCTATTGAAAAACTTTTTGCGTCCCTATTGGGACACCCTTTACATGGGCAACTCGAAATCATCGAAAAATTGGAAATTCACTGCGGAAACACTACACCATACTTCGAAGTTCGAGTTTCGTCACTTGTCATTGCGGTGTGTGAGTCACTGTGTGATTGTGTGCGCCATTCGTCCATTGCTATTTCATCAGCGCATCAGCAGAGAGCATATCGCAGAGCATCGACTACACGTCAAACCAAATATTTTCTTTTATTCGCGACGCCATTTTTGCTCTGTTCAACAGCGTCATTCCAACACTGAATTTTGCAGTTTATTCGCTGAGTTTTGCCTTTTGGCCAGCGTATTTTCGTATTCACGGAATAAAAGCAAACTAAATTGTCTGCAAGAAGGTGAGTTTTGATGCCAATGTGCAATTTTTCAAGAGTTTGTTCCAAGTTTGGTTTCTAATAGACATTTTGATTTCCAATTGACAGCATCGAAATTGCATTGCGAATTGCGATGAATGGCAACTGTACAGAGCCGCCCGATAAACACAAATCGAATGCCATGGCAAAACAAAATGAATCGATTTTGTGTGGAATGGAAATCAAACAGGAGCCAACAATCAAACAAGAGAATGAAGTCTCTGACGAAATTCTGATCGTATCGCGGTCAGCACACACAGCCATTGGATCGCTTGACAATTCAATTGGCGGTACAGAAGTGAATGACAGCGACGTTTGCTTCGATTTCTATGATATGGATGGGGTAAAGTCTGAAGTGAAGATCGAAAAAGTTGAGGATGAGGCGAATCAAGTTCCACGGAAGGACTCTGACAAAAATTTAAGGCCACAAAGCAATGTGGAGAAGAAGAATTCCAAATCGAAATCAAGTGGACCGGATGATGGTGTGACAAAGAAAGGATCAGCCAAAAGCGGGAAAAGTAGCACAGCTACTAGTTTTGGTAGCAACAAGAAACCAGCTGAAGGCGAGACAAATCGAAAGCGACACAAGTGTTCATTGTGCGTATATGTCACCGATTTCACAACCGATTTGAAGAAACACATGTTCACGCACACTGGTGAACGACCATTTCCATGCAGCGTGTGCCAGAAACGATTCATCAAAAAATGGAATCTCCAATCGCACATGAAAATACACGTTAATGAATTTCTATTCAGCTGCTCAAATTGTTCGCAAGGATTTCATCGCAGCGAGGAGAAGGTGGAACACGAAACTGGTTGCACGGTTCGTCGCTACGAGTGTCACCTATGCAAGGAATTCTCTACTTTGCGTAAGACGAATTTGAAACATCATCTGCGTGTGCATACCGGCGAGAGACCATTCGAATGCGACCAATGCTCAAAGACATTCAACCACCCAACTGCTTTGAAACGCCACCGCAAAACCCACGTCAATCCTCGTCCATTGAAGTTGAAGTGTTCATCTTGCTTCAAAAACTTCGCCGAACAGAAGAAAAAAGAGCATCATGAAGCCAACTGCAAGCGACGCGGATACCGATGCGATGTGTGCAAGAGCTTCACAACTGATCATAAACCAAATTTGATGAATCACATGCGAATCCACACTGGCGAAAAGCCATTTCAATGTGAAACCTGCTCGAAGTGCTTCTCACAAAAGGCAACTCTCAACAAACACAATAAGATCCACAAGTAGCTGTTATCTCCCATGGAATAACACCTGCATCCTGCAATCAATCACATCGAATACACAACTTTTGATCATCAATTTGCATTAATAAAAACAAATACGAAAATGTATCAAACTTCCTTTATTTCCATTCGACAATGTTTAAATTAAATTGAATGTTGACAAACAACATTCATTTCGAGACTGATTTTAGTTATTTGTTATTAGCTGCCAACTGTGTGGGGCACATGTTATATGTTGCTTTCTATCAACTGTTGGAACCAAGGGGCAATTCAAAAGTAATACATAATACCTGCGAAGTAATACAAAGTAATACTAGGTAAAAGTGGTATTACTTTTGATAAAGTAATACTCCTTTTAAAAATAATACTACTGTTTGAAAAAAGTAATACTAAAGTAATACAAGGTAATATTTACATTAGTATTACTTAAAGTAATACTAATACACAGTATTACTTTTGAGTGGTTTTCCCCTCGGTTGGAACAGAAAAATTGCATTCACAGCACGAAAACGAGCTCTTGAGCATTGTTCGAATCATTGATTATGATAAACAGCATGTGAATTTACTGTGAAAAAAATGCAAGATTTATTTCGATTTGAATTGAACGTATGAATAACGTATCGTACGAATGAGATTTTAGGTTCCCTGAAGCCAAGATCAAGTGCATGTTATTTATTAAAATACTCCTGAAATTTTGCAAGATTCAACGATAAATTGATGCCAAGTTTGCAGAATGGGCTTCAGAGACATTTTTTCAGAAGACAAAAGAAGCGTTAACATCGAGTATCCAGCCATGAATTGTAATTTCAGTCATTATTTCCTTCATGAACTTATAGATGACCATGTTACATTTTGTAACTGTCCATACGGCTCTTAACCCTCTAATGCATTAATTTTTCCCAGGGCTGGGAGTACTGGTACTTGGTTGATTTTTGGCCATTGATAATTGAAAAAATATTCATAATCCTGGAATGCTCATGGTGATTGACATAAATCAGAGAACAATCAAATTCATTGTTTAAAAGTGACAAAAATGTGTCTAATTTGGAGTTCGAATAATTTATTTTGTCGCATTTTTGTTTTTGCACACATTTTTGTTTATAACTTTACAATCACAACACATAGACAAATATTGCCAAAGACAAAAATGAAAAGAAAACATTGTGAAATAAAAATTCTCTTTGAAGCAATGTGATCCGATGGACGGTTTACGTCCTAAAGGCGTTCAACTGTTGCCCGTCTAGAGGCGGTTGTATGCATTAGAGGGTTAAATTTATATTGCCTTTTACCAATAAAGAATAAAGAATGGAGGATTACAAATTATCACTCCTGGATTTTCGAAACAGACAATCCAAACTCATCGAAAAATTCGAAAGTCACTGCAGTAACACTACAACATATTTCGAATTCCGACTTTTGCCATTTGTCATTGCGGTGTGCAGTGTTGTACAAAAATAAAATTTAGATAGATAAGATGATATCTTTATCTTTATCTAAATCAGTCACTCAGATTGGTCATCTATCTTGATATCTTATCTGAATACTTTTTTCGATATCTATCTCGAATTTTTTAGATAATTTCAAAGATAATTCGATTTTCTCATAGAAACATATCAAAGATAACTAAAAGATAATTGGAAAAAAATATCTTATCTTTTATTGGATAGATAAGATAATATCTCATCTTCATCTAAATTATTTTTATGATTTTTCACAAATATCTTATCTTTATCTAAATAAATTTCAAGTCCTTTTGTACAACACTGGCGGTGTGTGACTGTGTGCGCATTTCGTTCATTGCTGTTTCATCATCGCATCAGCACATCTCCGTGATTTGGCTACACGTTCAGTTCAACTCAATAAATATTTTCATTCTTTCACGACGCCATTTTTGCTCTGCTCAACACAGTTGTTTTAAGACAGAATTTATACGCTACGGAGCTTAATCGACGGGTTTAGTCTTTCGATCGATTTATTTTTTCATTCCGGAACAAAAAGTTCAGTTTGTAAAGAAAAGGTGAGTTATTGTCAAAGTGGAATTTTTTTTAGTGTTTGTGTACTGTGTGGTTTCAAATAATGAACATTCTGATTTCTGATTGACAGCACTGACATTGCGTCGAAATGAATGGTCACGGTAAAGGGCCGCCGGATAAACACGAATGTGATGCCATTGCGTTGCAGAATGAATCGATTTTGGGCGGAAAGGAAATCCAGCGAGAGCCGACTGTCAAACAAGAATATGAAGGCAACGACGGTATTGTGATGGTAATGAGATCGGCACACACAGCCAATGGAACACTTGAAAATGCGACTGCTAGTGGCCAAGAGAATGGTACCAAAATTTGTTTCGATTTCTTCAATCTGGACGAGGTAAAATCGGAAGTAAAGACTGAAAAGGTTAGGGATGCGGTGAATCAAGTTCCACGGAAGAGCTCTGACGAAAATCGAAATCCACAAAACAATGCGAACAAGCGTTTCCCGATACCGAAAACAAGTGAATCGGATGATGGTGCGACAAAGAAAAGATCAGCCATAATTGGGAAAAGAAGCACAGCTTATAGTTTTGGTAGCAAGAAGAACCCAGCTGAAGGTGAGACAAACGGAAAGCGGCACAAGTGTTCATTGTGCGAGTATCAGACTTCCAACAAAAGTCATATGAAAAGACACATGTTCAAGCACACCGGCGAACGACCATTTCCATGCAGCCTGTGCCAGAAGCGATTCACAACGAAACAACATCTCCAATCGCACATGAAAACACACGTCGATGAGTTTCTGTTCAGCTGCTCAAATTGTTCGCAAGGATTTGATCGAAGCGAGGAGAAGGTGGAACACGAAACTGGTTGCACGGTTCGTCGCTATGAGTGTTATCAGTGCACGGAATACTCTACATTGGATAAGTGGAATCTGAAATGTTATCTGCTTGTGCATACCGGCGAGAGACCATTCGAATGTGACCAATGCTCAAAGAGATTCAAGCGTAAAAATGCTTTGAAATACCACCGCAAATCTCACACAAATCCTCGTCCATTGAAATTCAAGTGTTCATCTTGCTTCAAAAACTTCGCCCAACAGAAGGAGAAGGAAAATCATGAAGCCAACTGCAAGCGACGCGGATGCCAATGCGATTTGTGGAAGACCTACTCAACTGATCAGAAAGGACATTTGATGAACCACATGCGAGTCCACACTGGCGAAAAGCCATTCCAATGTGAAATATGCTCGAAGTGCTTCTCGCAAACGGCTAGTCTCATCCAACACAAGAAGATTCACAAGTCGCTGTCTGCTGCCAAGGAATAACACTCGAAATCGATACATCGAATGACAGACTTTGGATTCTCAATTTGCATTAAATAAAAATACGAATCAAATCAAATACCGGCCTTTTAATTTCAATTAAAACTAATTCAAGTAATTGAATGATGACAAATTTGTTCATTATGGAACTGATTTAATTGATTTGTTCTTAGCCAATAACCGCGGGAGGGAAATGTTACACGTTGTATCTTTTCAAGAATTCTAACGAATCGTATTCTGATTAGAACAGAACTCTTGTGCATCTTTAAATAATTGATTATG